GGGTCTCAGAACCAGTTCTAATTCCAGCTCTTGGGGATCTGATACCCTGTTCTGGCCTCCACAGGCACCCATACCATGTGGTATACTCACAGAGACACACATAAATTTTAAAAATACTAAAATCTTAAAAAACAAAACCACCAAGTATGTTTAAATGAGTTTAAAATTAGGGGCTGGAGAGAAGGCTCAGCAGTTAAGAGCACTGGCTGCTCTTGTAGAGGGCCCAGGTCAGATTCTCAGCACCCACACAGTGGCTAACAATGGTTTGTAACTCCAGTTCCAGGAGATCCCACACCCTCTTATCTTTGAGGGCATTTCATGACAGGAGTGCACTTGCATACATGCAGGCAATATACTCATACACACAAAATAAAAATAATAAAGAAATGGGCTTTAAAATTAATCAATGCAAATAAACCTTAAGCTACCTAGACAAATTGTTTATATATGACCTGTGAGACACTTCCTTGTGTGCTGAATAATTTGATAAAAGTGACTCTTATTTTCCAGGTGCAACGTTATACTGCAAGTCAGTCAATACCATCATTTAAGTCACTTTATAATGGAAAAGTATGAAAAACTGGCAAAGATTGGAGAAGGCTCTTATGGGGTTGTGTTCAAATGCAGAAATAAATCCTCTGGACAAGTAGTAGCTATTAAAAAATTTGTGGAATCTGAAGATGATCCTGTTGTTAAAAAAATAGCACTGAGAGAAATACATATGTTGAAGGTAAGTTAACTTCCCAAAGCCTGATATTTGTACTCTCCTTAGGTGAAATTTATATGCTGAAAATACAGAGAAATTTAGAATCATATTTCTTTCCTGTTGAATTTAAATTCCTGGGTGTCAGCAACTTTGGGAAATAAGTCATCGCTGGGTTGGACTTTGGCCTCTTTGATTTGATCTCATAGACATGAGTGTAGCAGGAAGAGGTTAAAACATAGCCGTACTTTGCGTTCAGTACCTCACATTCTGACTGGGAAATAGCCACACTGACCTAAGTGCCCCGCACCCCAGTGTTGACCAACCTCCCTCCTGCCTGGGCTTCTGGACCTTGTCCCCACATACTTTCCCAACAAACCAACAACTCCAAGAGTACTTCCATGGGTAGAGGGGCCCTGCACTAGTGCCCCTGTAGGGATCAACTTTGATCAGCCCCTACCTGCTCCGCCCCAGTTCTTAAGAGTAAATATCACCCAGCCATTTACACATTTCTTACGTTGGTGCTTTCGTTGTCATTGTTTTTATTCTGATGTACAAGACTCCTGTGGTCTCAATGGAAAATTCTTCCTTAAAAAAAAAAATCTTCACCATTAGTCCCAGCACTTGGGAGGCAGAGGCAGGCAGAGCTCTGTGAGTTCAAGGCCAGCCTGGTCTACAAAATGAGTTCCAGACCAGCTGGGGCTACAGGGAGACCCTGTCTCAAAAAGGCCAAATCATCATCATCATCATCATCATCACCATCACCATCATCTTAGATTTCAGAACCGCAAGGCCTGGAGCCATGCTTCTCCAACGTTAACATTAGTCCACAGGAATCCTCTGGGGTTCTTATTGAAATGCAGGGTTTGGAGGTAGGGTGACTGTGGGATGGATCCCGAGATCCCTCATTTCTGACAAGCTCCCACACAATAGAGAAGTTGCCAGTGAGTGAACCACACAGCCACTGACAAGACCCTGTGATTTGAAGAGCACACAGCCAACCTTCATTTTCTAAGTATCTTTGGATTTTGTGGGGGTTTTGTAAACTGAGATTTCAATTTGTAAAGAATAATAAGTACATTATTTCTCCTTTTCAAATATATGCAGAAGGTTTTCACATCTAATAATATTGTAGTGTTTCGTTTTAAATGTAATTTGATAAAAAACGAAAACAAAAAATGGTTCACTTGCTGTCCATGGCGCATGCCTTAAATCCCAGGCAGAGGCAGACAGAGCTCTGTAAAATCTAAGCCAGCCTGATCTACATAGCAAATTCCAAGCCAACCAGTGCTGTATAGTAAGTCTTTAAAAAAAAAAAAAAGAAAAAAAATGTTCACTCTTACCGCTTGGCCAGCAGAGGGCGCTAGCGAACCAGCCGGCTCTGGCACTCAGTACTGGGCTAAACTGCAGGGTAGGCTAAGAAAAAAATAACGTTCTTACACTTTTCTCTCCCCCTCCCTAGTCGTCACATAAAGATAATTCTTAGATGGATACTTCTAAATTATAACTGCCTTAATCTAAGGTGCAAAGAAGCCACACTTCAATCCTTCAGTGTGGTGTCTTGGTGATGGCTCAGAATACTTTCTGCCTTCGGTATGCTGCACCCATGCAAGCCGAGGCACATATTCCTCTTTACCCACACGCTCCTGCAATTTAACTTTGATTCACCTCCTCACATTAGCTGTTTTATTTTAGAGATCACTGGCTGAGCTAAGCCAACTTCATTTGCAAAGTAGATGTAAATCGGTGATCTGCCCAGAGGCTGTTTCCACGAGTTAAACTTGGACCTCTCATAGAGTAGTATCTGTGACTCCCTTATCCTCCCAGGAGGAAAACCGTCTGGCTTCTGGCTGCCTTGCTGTGCTTTCGCTGCAGCGCAGCGCGCCTGGCTCTTCTGTGAGACCCACTCTGCCAACCTTTGGCCTGCTCTTTCAGGCAGTGGAGTACATAGAATGCAAATTGATTTGGGGCTCTGGACGCATCTCTCATGTATAACAGATTCTCCTTTGTCAGACTTACTAAGCAGCAGATACACAGATGTTAGGTGATTTTGTTTTGTTTTAATTTTTACACATTTATTTTTATTACATATATGTGTGCATGCATGCATGTGTGTGTGTGTGTGGTGTGTAATTCCTTGTCTGTGTCTGTGTGTGAATGTGTGCCATGTGTGCAGGTGCCTGTGAGGCCAGAAGAGGGCATCAGATCCAGTTATAGCTGGAATGAGCTGCTCACTCAGGTCCTCTAGGCAGGAAACACTCCTGACCTCTGAACCACCTCCAGCCCTGATTTTGTTTTTGTTTTTAACGGAGCCAGGCTTTGCAGACATTCAGCATGAAGCCTTGAATGTACTTAAGGCTCTCCCCTGGGTACTGGGCCTGCAAAATATTTACTGAACAGCAACAATATACAAAGTACAGTATTCTCTTTTTATGTATCTCTCTGGGTAAACAGCATAGGGTTTGGAAAGTTGATTTGTCTACTATATTAGGAAAGCAAGGAAAATGGGTTATAAATAGGAGAGGTTACCTGTCCTGGTTTGCCCAGGGCAGTCCTGTTAGTTTTTGCCCCAGTTTCCTGTGTGGTTAACATCCCATCAAGCAGTGCCATGTTCTCACTGAACAATATAATCACCCTCATTATAACAGAGTCGCCATGAATGCTAGTTTGCCTGGGACTGTCTGGTTTTCACCTGTTCCTTCAGCTTTAATGAAGATTTTTATAGTCATTCTAAGGATAGATTGTTTAACTTCATCAGCAGTTTAGTTTTAGCTTAAAAGATTAAACAGAAAAACAACCAGAAAAAGAGAATAAAACATTAATCCAAGACTGCTTTCTGAAATGTTTCAGTTTCGGAGTTTGACGCATAAAACTTCGAAGAATCAGAACAAACAGCAGAATCAAAGACCAAAAACATGACATAAAAGAGTACTCTCACTATTAGTGAATAGTAGCACATTAGTGACTTTATCACCAATCGGAGGGGCTCCTAGACTAAAAAGTGTAATAAAAATTTTATAGAGTGGGGACTCTCGTACTGCTGAGAGCCAACACTAGATTCCAGACTGAATTTAAATCCAACTGACATTGGCATTAAATACATGGCAAAAAGGGGTGGAGAGATGGCTCAGAACTTAAGAGTGCATACTGTTCTTGCAGAGGACATGTAACACCAGCTCCAGTAGATCTGACGCTCTCTTTTGGGCTATAGGAGCACCTGCACTCACATGTGCAGATACACACACAGACACATATTTATATGCATAACTAAAAATAAAATCTTTTGCTGGGCGTGGTGGTGCACACCTTTAATCCCAGCACTCAGGAGGCAGAGGCAGGCAGATCTCTGTGAGTTTAAGCCCAGCCTGGTCTACATAGTGAGACCCAGGTCAGCCTGGTCTACTTAGTGAATTACAGGCCAGCTGGGACTGGGAGACCCTGTCTCAAAAAATTTTTTTTTCTTTTAAAGGAAACAAAAAAAAGAGAAAAAAATGGCCAGACATGTTGGTGCACACCTGCCTTTAATCCCAGCACTCAGGAGGCAGAAGCAGGCGGATCTCTGTGAGTTCAAGGCCAGCCTGGTCTACATAGCGAGTTCCAAGTCAGCTAGGGCTACAGGGAGACCCTGTCTCAAAAAGACCAAATAATAATAATAATAATAATAAATGTTTATAAAGGAAAGAAAAAAGGAGATTGACAGAGGAAGAAAAGACACCTGCCATCAACCTCTGCACACACACATGCGTACACACACACACACACACACACACACACACAAATTCTGCACAAGAGACAGAAACAGACTTGTTCTCTTAACATCAGAACAAGTGGAGGGGAGCAGCTATTAATGGACACATACACTAAAGTATGTATTTCAATTCTTTTACAGCAATTGAAACACCCAAACCTTGTGAACCTCATCGAGGTGTTCAGGAGAAAAAGGAAAATGCATTTAGTTTTTGAGTACTGTGATCACACACTGTTAAATGAGCTGGAAAGAAACCCAAATGGGTAAGTGATCTAGAAACTGAAATTCCCTATGACCAGTTCTCTTTCCTTCTATGAGCAGTTAACCATGGAAGATTACAAATTCCAGACCCCCTTCTATCCTGATACATCTGGCTACCCCCTCCAGTCTCAGGTAGGATGTGCTCAAAGGACAGTTGGATATTAACCTAGATAAACTATTACTATGCAGACAAATATACTATTAATATGAAATACAGAGTATCTTGAGGGTAAATTATATATTGGCGTATTTGGAATCAAGGAGTGAACTATATAATTCAATATGAGGAAATCTATTCATATAATTCACCATTATGTCAAAGTGTAAAAGTCTGTGTGATTGATAAAATTTGAAATGCTAATAACTGCAATATTTCCTGTATCATCTTTTTGAGACAGGGTCTTCCTGTAGCTCAGCTGGCCTGGAACTCAATATGTAGACCAGATCTCATAGAGATCCACCTGCCTCTGCCTTTATTTTTGTTTTATTTTTAATATTTTTTAATTTTATATGTATGAGTGTGTTGCATGCATGTACATTAGTGCACATGTGTTGTGTAATGCCCTCAGAGGTCAGAAGAAGGCATAGAATCCTCTGGAACTGGAGTTATAAATTGAACCCAGGTCCTCTGCAAGAGCAGCCAGTGCTCTTAACCACTGAGCCATCTCTCCAGCCCCATTTTTGTTTTTGTTTTTTAAAGTCAGGAGCTCACTCTCTGGTCCAGGCTAGCCTTGAATTCACTGTGTAGCTCAAGCTGACTCAAATGTGTGACAATCCTCTTCCTTCAGTCTCCCAAGTGCTGGGATTATAGGTATGAACCACTGTGTCCAAGCCGATTATTCTTAAAGAATAAAACCTGGGTGTCTCACCACTGAGAAGTGCACAAATGCTCTTATCTGTGCCTTTCTTCCTTCCAAACACCTGCTTTCCTAACCCTCCTGCTGTCTCTTATGTTAAAATATCTTTAATAGTGGGGCTGGAGAGATGGCTCAGAGGATAAGAGCACTGGCTATTCTTGCAGAAGACCTGGGTTTGAATCCCAGCATCCACATGATGGCTAACAACCATCTGTCACTCCAGTTCCAGGGGTCAGATGCCCTCTTCTGTCTTCCACAGGTACCACATGACACAGGTGCACTAACACACATGCAGGCATAACACTCATACACATAAAATAAAAATAAATAAAACAAAAAATTAAATAAAGTACATATTTTAAAAAGCATATCTTTAAACCAGGCATAGTGGCACTCGCCTTTAGTCCCAGCACTTGGGAAGCAGAGGCAGGAGGATCTCTGTGAGTTCAAGGCCAGCTGGGGCTACAGGGAGACCCTGTCTCAAAAAAGAACAAAAAAAGTGAGATAAAAATACATCTTTAATACAATCTCTAATTCTGGTGCTGAGTGTGGCATATCCTTTTAATCCCAGGCTGGCCTTGACACAGAGATCTGCCTGCTTCTGCCTCCGCCTCTCAAGTACTGGGATTTAAAGGCATGCACCACCATGCCCAGTTATAAAAATAAATTTTAGAAAGTTTTTTTGAGACAGGGTCTCCCTGTAGTCCCAGCTGGCCTGGAACTTGCTATGTAATCCAGGCTGGCCTTGAACTCACAGAGATCCACCTGCCTCTGCCTCCTGAGTGCTGGGATTAAAGACATGCGCCACCACACTCAGCTTTAATTGTAAAATTTTAATTTTTGTTTTGTTCTGGTTTATTCTTGTTTTTGTTGTTGTTGAAACAAAGTCTCGTGCAATCCATATTGGTCTCAAATTTATCATCTTCCTGTCTCCTCTTACGAAGTGCTGGGATTACAGATGTGCACCATCATACCCAGCTTAATCTAAAACTCCTCACCATAGATATCTAGTAAAAGAAACCTTTGTTCTCTGATTTCTGAAAATGTGAAAACAATCCCATCTGCATCAGCAGAGGTGAAAGATAAGCTACACACTGAGAAAAGATCCATAGCATCTGTAGCAGTCTGATGCACCCCAAGTCTGCACATGGTAAGGGTACAGAGACCAGAACAAGAAGCCCTGATGAGATGGCCACGGGCACAAAAGAGACGTGAAAGCAGGACAGGGGTGGTTGGGAAGAGGAAGGGGGTCAATGGAAGGGAAGTGGGACTAAAAGAGGATAATGGGGGAAGTAGGATCACAATATATTGTATATGTATGCATGAAACTGTAAGAAAAATAAATTACAGAAAACAAAAGCAACTGCAAATAAAAAACAAAAGCGGGGTATACAGATCAATGTAACAGGCTCTAACAGGATCCAAGGAGAAGGTTCAGCAGTTCACGTTCTTGGCACACAAGCACGAGGAACACAGTTTGGATCCTAGAAACACACGTCAATGCCAAGTGGGCATGGCAGCCCTCCTGCAAAAAAAGGTGAAGACTGGGGGATCCCTACTGCAAGCTAGCTAGCGGACTAACCATACCAGGGAGCTCTGGGTTTGATTGAGAGATCCTGCCTCAATAAATATGGTGGAAGAGCAATGAGAATGATTCCCGACTTCAACCTCGGTCCTCCACATGCACATGCACACATGTGCATATGCACCCACGTACATGTGTGTCCACATGCAAAACATGCATGTACATATAAACACCACACACAAAAAAAAGAAAAATAGAACAAAAAGCTGTGAACTAGAAATACACAAAAGAAGAAATGTGGTATCCAATAATCATATGAATATTTATTTACATAGGTATTTTGAGGCAGGGTCTCATGCAGCCTATGCTAGCTTCCAACTTGCTATGTAGCTGAAAATGACTTTGAACTTTGACCCTTCTGCCTCTACTTCCTGAGTGATGAGATTACAAGTCTGCCCCACTATGCCTGTTTTTTTTTGTTTTGTTCTTAAGATTCATTTTTATTTTTAATTAGGAGAGGAGAGGTGGGTATGTATACCTGAGTGCAAGGGCCAGAGGAGGGCATTAGTGCCCTGTAGTTGAGGTTATAGTTGGTTGTGAGCTGCCTGATGTGGGTTCTGGGAACCCAACTCAGGTTTTCTGGAGGAGCAGTGAGTGCCCTCAACTGCTAAGCCATCTCTCCAGCCCCCATGACTGGTTTTATGTAGTTCCTGGGGTCCAACCCAGGGCTTCACACATGCTAGGAGGGCGCTGTACAACTGAGCTCTATTCCCAACCCCATGATGTGAAATTATTAATCACTAAAAATTAATGAAGACCAAATAAAAAACAAAATGAGAGCTCTTTACCTTAAGTGCCCATAGGCAAGCATAACATTGGCACAAACCAAATGGCACACTGATTGAGGGTGCAGACATATCTGTGCAGATGTTTGGTAGGAGTCCAATGGCTGTAACCTTCCTGAGAGAGGGTAACTTGGCAGTATGTAAACGAAGGCCTACCAGGAAGGTGACATGAATAATGGAAAAACACCAAGAGTTAAAGGGAATATGATTACTCTGATGTACAGAGCATAGACTAGAATATTCCCAGACAAAAGTCACCCAGATCTCCAATTCCCCAGTGGAAATGATACTGACCAATGACACTTGCCAATATTTCCCATGCAAAATGCTGAGTCTACCAGGGACAGGAAGCTCACAGCAACCCATTCTAACACAACCATCATTCTCCCTGGCCTCCTTGTTGGCTGTAAACCCTCCTTGCAAACTGCACCCTTTACACAGTAACTCCAGTGCACGCTTCAGTACTTAACCACCAAAGGGATTAGAGGAGTTGTCTCAAACAAGGTAGAGGTGAACCCCATCACCTGAGGCTGCACTATGACCTCCACATGTGCCCACACAGACATGATCATACACACATACATACACACACATAAAGACTTTTTTCTGGACCCTCCCTCTGCCTTGCACTGTGCTCTTTGAGTACACCAAGCCCATTGGCTCCCCCCACCCCCCCATTTTCCCAGCCCTTGCTCCTAGAACTCCATCCTAAGAGTTTTCATTTCCTTTTTTTGTTTTTTGTTCTTTTCTTACAGTGTGGCTGACAGAGTCATCAAAAGTGTGTTATGGCAAACACTCCAAGCTCTTCATTTCTGTCACAAACATAACGTAAGTCACATTTTCTAATGTTTTTAGTAATTTTTTTGTGATGGTGTGCTGGATAACTTTAGTGTCAACTTGACAAACCTGGATAGAGGGAGCCTCAATTGGTGAACTGCCTCCATTGGACTGGCCTGTGGCCATGTCTATTGGTGCATCTTCTTGATTATGGAGTGAATGGGAGGGCCCAGCTGCTGTGGATGGTGCCACCCCTGGGCAGGTCAGCCTGTGTTATATAAGAAAGCAGGTTGAAGCTGGGCGTGGTGGCTCACGCCTTTAATCCCAGCACTTGGGAGGCAGAGGCAGGCGGATCTCTGTGAGTTCAAGGCCAGACTGGTCTACATAGTGAGTTCTAGGCCAGCTGGGGCTACAGAGAGACCCTGTCTCAAAAAGACCAAAAAAAAAAGAAAGAAAGCAGGTTGAGCGGGAGCCAGAGGAGCAAGCCAATAAGCAGCATTCCCCCATGACCTGTGCTCCAACACCGGCCTCCAGGTTCCTGCCCTAAGTTCCTACCTTGGGCTCCCTCAGTGACCAACTGTGACCCAGGAGATGTAAGACAAATAAACCCTTTCCTCCACAAACTGATAGTGGTCAGAGTGTTTTGTCACAGCAATGGAGGAACAAACTAGAACAGATGGTTTTCTATCTCAGGAACAACTTGAAAAGCTAAAGACAGAGGAAAGAAAGAACCAGAACAAAATCAAAGCAAGTTCCAGATATGGGGAAAAGCTCATCGCTCATGGCTCTTTTCCAACTTCCATAGAAGTCAAGCTATTATTAACTTATGAATTAAAAGTTTGTGTGAACTTAGTGTTTCCTTCTGCCACCATACTAATGATTCCTTGTATTAGTTTTAAATTGGGTTAAAATAATTTTTCATTTTGGCTGAGTTTGTTCTTACTGTGTTTCTTAGTCTTTTATTCTATAATAGTCTTCCCTACCCTACTTTTTTTTAATTTAATTTTTCTATGCCACTAATTTTTTTTTTTTTGAACTCTTTGAGACAGGGTCTCCCTGTAGCCCCAGCTGGCCTAGAATTCACTATGTAGACCAGGCTGGCCTTGAGCTGACAGAGATCCACCTGCCTCTGCCTCCTGAGTGCTGGGACTAAAGGTGTGCGCCACACCCCCCACCCCCACCCCGGCTTATGCCACTAATATTTTAAGAGCTATAGTTCTCAGACTTGCATTAAAGTCAGCTGAAAGGCCTGGTAAACACAACTTGCTGGTTATGACCTGGGACTTTCTGGCTCAGTACATCTGTGGTAGGACCTGGACTTGGAATTCTGAAGACTTGACTATTCCCTGAATATTCCTGAAGTTGCTGGTGTCAGAACACACTTTGATGACTATTACAGAGACAGCTTTGAATGATTACGTCCTGTGTTAATTCAGTTTGGCTTTTTCGCCTGCTTTCCTATAAACTGGTATCATATAGAGAGACTTGATCATATTCAGGTGCAGGGTTTTTGTGTGTATGTGTGTGGTATATGCATGCACATGAGTGTGCAGGGTTTTGTGCATGCATTGCCAGAGCAGGACTAACAAGCTGTCAGGATCTGCTTGCCTCTACCCCACAATGTCTGGGTTTTACAGGCACACATAGCCATGTTCTGCTTTTCATGTGGGTGCTGGGGACCCTCATGTTTGAAGAGCAAGTGCTCTTACTCACTGAGCAAACTCCCTAGTTCCAGGCTTAGGTATTTTTAGACAGCAAAGCTTAATGTACCATGTTCCTATTATTTTTAAAGACTATCTTATTATTTTTATTTTATTATGTGTATGAGTATAGGCAAACCTGTATCATACAGTGCCCATGGAGGTCAAAAGATGATGTCAGATCCCCTGAAAGTGGAGTTACAGGTGGTTGTTAGCCACCATGTGGGTGCTGGGAATCAAACCCAGGTCCTCTGCAGAGCAACCAGTGCTCTTAACTACTGAGTCATCATTCCAGTCCCCATGTTCCTAGTATATCAACATATGAGATATATGGGTGGTCATCCCAGCTTTGGTGATGTTGCCCATGGGTCGACTTAGGAGTTACTGGTTTGATCCTTTCCATTTTTACTTGATGGTTTCCACATCCAGTGATGATGCTTGAAACCATTATTTCATTAAGATTAAAAAACAGTCATTCAGGGGACTGGAGAGGCGGCACAGTGGTTAAGAGTGCTTGCTACTCTTCTAGAGGACCCAGGTTTGGATCCTAGCATCCACATCAGGTGACTCACAACTGCCTGTGACTCTGGTTCCAGGGGATTCCACACCCTCTGGCATCCAAAGGCACCTGCGTGTATGTGATATGAATAATGCAAGGAATGCAATAAATAAAAATAATTAATCTATTTTTTAAATAATCATTTCATACTGCTTAGCCCTGAATAGGACAGCTATATCAAACTTCTGCCTCCCAAGGCTCAGGGATCATTGCTGAAGAAGGAACAGAAAGATTGTAAGAGCCTGAGGTGGTGGGTGACCACAAGGAAACAGTTTTCCAGACAGCTGGTCAGTTCCTCATATGAACTCACAGCAATGGTGACAGCATGCACAAGTCCCGCGTAAGCTCAAGCCAGACAAAATCCCAGAATAGAAGTGTGGAAGTGGGTAAGAAACCCCAACCCTATACAAGGAATTGTTGGCAACTGATGGCTGCTGGGAAGGGGAGATTCAGTCTCGTTTAAAGGTGATACTCTTGGCAGATTAATCAGGCTCTAGTGGAAGAACTTACACAGAAGGGCACTTGGGGACAAAAACACAATTCTATTGGCCATATATATATAATACATATAAAAATACATATGATGTGTATATTTATATATTAGAGTTCATATAGGAGAGGCTCTAAATATGATAAAAACAATTTAAAAAGGAAAAATGATCGTTTTCCAATTGTATTACTGTTTCTGCATTTTAATTGGCATTATAACTGGGTGTGGTCCTAGTACTTGGAAAGTCAAAGGAGGAGGATCATGAATTTGAGGCCAGCCTGGGCTAAAGAGTGAGCGCCTGTCTCAAAAAACAAACGAAAAAAAACAAACCCAATAATTGTGCTGGAGAGATTGCCCAGTGGATAAAAGCACTCACTGGTTGTTCATGCAGAGGACCTGAGTTGGGTCCCCAGCAACCACATGGTGGCTAACAACTAACCACCTATAACTCTAGTTCCAAGGGATCCAACACCCTCTTCTATCCTCCTTGGGTACTGCACACATGAGCTACATTTACATACATGAACACAAAACATTCATACACAAAAATAATAATAAATACATAAATAAAATTTCAAAGCATAATAAGAAGAAGAATTGCATGGAAAATAGCTTACCCTTATGGACTCTGTTTACTGTAAAATACAGGAAGCCAAATATGGACTGGAGATGTAGCTCAGTGGTAGAGCACTTGCTTAGTGTTCTCTGGGTTTAATCCCTAATACCAAAAAATAAGTAAAAAGTCTTTTAAGGCTGGGGATATAGTTCCTTCATAGAGTGCTTGGTTATTATGTGCAAAACTGGCAAGTTTCAATCCCCAGTACTACAAAAAAGTCAATTAAAATAAGAAAAACACAGGATGATTTCTTATGTGTCAATATTCAGAGAGATGAGTAAGTATTTCAGCAGTCTCCATCAGTGCACAGTAGTGGGCTTGGGATATTGGTAGAACCACAGATCTTATAGATGTGATAATTGTGGTCATTTTTCTCTGCCATCTTAGACCAGTGAGAGCTCACCCCAGCTGGCTCCTTATGCTTTTGCTAGAATAAGAGCTTTTATAAAAATATCTCTAGACCTTGTGAGTGGGTGCTTGGAGAGAGTGCCAGGGCACAGATTCAGACTACCATATGGTCAGTTCTGATGCCAGGAGAATGTCTACCATGGGAGTCTGGGATTGCTGAAAAAGAAAACTCAAGATCAGGAAACTAAGTATCAGTACTTAGGGAAGCTTTCTTTAGTTTTAAGAAAGTCAGAAAAGTTTCCATTAGAATAAACTGAGTCTTTATTTTCTGTGAGTGGAGAGCGATGCTGTCCATAAGCTACACAGCCCAGGTTTTCAGGCTTTCATGATGCAGCTTATTGCTTTCAGATTAAGAAAAATGCTGTTGAACTGAACGCATCTGTTGGTTTTCATCATGATACAGGAGATAGCAAGTTCACCTAAAGTTGATGTGGGAATTTTATGTAGTTAATAAGGTTTTGTTTTGTTGTTGTTTATGAGACAAGGTAGCCCTAGTTGGCCTGGAACTCGCTATGTAGGCCAGGTTGACCTTGTACTCTCAGAGGTCGGCCTGTTTCTGCTTCCCAAGTGCTGGTATTAAAGGAATAAACCATCACACTTGGCCTGTTAATACTTTTTTAAAAATTTCACACATTAGTACTATATTTATATATATCATTTCCTTAAAAAAAAAAAAACACTATTTACCACAAACGTTTGTGTGGTTTTTAGTTTGTTTTTTTTAGTTTGTTTGTTTTGTTGTTGTTTATAAGACAAGGTAGCCCTGGTTGGCCTGGAACTTGATATGTAGACCAAGCTGGCCTCAGTCTGCCTGCCTCTGCCTCCAGAGTGCTGGGATTAAAGGCATGTGCCATCACACCTGGCTGTGTTTGTGCTTTTTACCTATAAACCCAGATACTCTCTGGCATACTAGATTACTGATGTAATGTCTAAGGATTAATCTTTCTATCTCTTTGATGCTTAGCATGGACCTTTTATATAAGAGGTGTTCAATAAATATCTATTGAATAACCAGATGGAAAGGTGGATGGATAAGCAAATCAATCAATCTTCCTACCTGATTACAACCCAGTAATTATTGTAGCTCAATGCAACTGGCATTATTTCTCTGCTTGGAACAACATATCCTATACCTTAAGCTTTAAAACATTGAAAGCTTCTTGTTAATAATCTGTGACTACTATTAACAATAGATAATTTCTTAGTATTATTATTGTTTTGTATATGTGTATGATGTGAGGGTGGCTGGGTGTGCATGCCACAGTGTGAATGTGAAGG